CTAGGAAAGGAAACCGCGCTGATCGATCGAGGTTTGTGTTGTGATTTGTAGTACTGATTATGGATAATGGAACTGTTAGGGCGGATTTGGTGAAGGAAGTTCGAATCGTTGTTCGTCGATCGAATATTCTCTGTTTAATTAAATTTCGAATCGTATTCTCTGTTTCTTTTACATCGTTTTATGATTGTGAGAAATTTTCTGCAAGAATCTGCGGATCCTTGTTCTTGATCTGAAGTTTTTCTTTCTCTGTGGAAGGATTCGGACTCTGAAATTCCTCGTGTCGATACGAGAGATTTGAGAGAGAGAAGAATTGGAAAAGTGTCGGCGGAATTTAGAATTTAGAATTAATTAATTATTATTATTATATTGAAATTCTGAGTATTAAATGACTTGGGAAAAATTAAAGCATTTTAAAATTCTGAATTTTTAAATGAAGACAAAGTATCACACCTTTAATTGATGGGCGAATGATTTGTAAGCAAATCCGAGACTGTGGAGAAACATGTGCATTTCTTTATTAGTGATAGATAGATGTATAATTTCGCCTAATTTTTTATAGTAATATTTATTTAAAATATTCAGAAATATTTATCTTTAAAGTTAAAAAACACTTTTGATTATGTAATCAAATAATGATATAGTTCTTAAATTTTAATCTTTAATGATTTAATAATTTAGTTATTGTATTTTTAAATTGGTAACAACTTAATCTCTTCTTCTTTCTTAATTTTTTTTAGTAAGGATAGTAATATTTATTTAATAGAAAACCTCCCTTCCTCATCCTCGTATCCAAATTAAAATTGCATGACAAGTTGTTTAAACTAATATATTTTAATTTTTAGGCTCAATATATCATTTTGTTAGCATCATTTTCCTCATAATAGTTTAAAAGATTACAAATTTTAATTTCGTCCTAAAAAAAATTGTATATATAGATCTTAAATAACATTTGTAAAAATTGAATAATGGAATATTGATTTAATATTTTAAAAAGTATATTATTTTTTATGAGCCAACAATTGTGGTTAAAGTCCAAACCGATCTTTTATGCTAAGAGAGTTGGGACCTCCAAGGTCTCAAACTGTCACACTTCAAACCTTGTCTTAGATTTTCACATGAAACTCCGTACTCACTTTTTTTTCAGTTCAATAATAGTGAGAATGTGAGATTAAATCATTGATCTTCGAGATGATATTAATGTGCATTTTCAAATTTTGAATTGAAGTAACAATAGTTTCACCTATTTTAATATATAGGGCTAGAAATCGTTAACCACTCCCTACAACCAAAGATGATTAAGGAGAAAATCAAAGACACTTGTCCCTCCACAATATTGTGGCCAATCCTTGATCCTTGAACCTACTCTTGAAGAAACACTAATACCAACTAAAGGTATTCACACTTTGTCCTCCACCTAACCGTCTATATTAGGTTTGAAAAGAAGTACCAATAAAGTTCTACACTGGATAGAGAAGGAGAAAATCATGAATATATATATGTATATATATATGTGAAGACATCTCCATTGGTCTTTTAGGTGAAATAAAAAAAAAAAGGTAAATTGCACAAACCACTCTAAAGTATGATAAATGTTGTAATTACACCCCTTAACTTTCAATTAGAAAAATTAACCCCTCAATTAGAAAAATTAACCCCTCAAAATTTGATTAGTAAAAAAATTGGACCACTTAACTTTTAATAATAAAAATTAAACCCTCAGACTTCACTAATTAAGTAAATTCCACCCTTAAATTTTTCCATAGTAAAAAAACACCACCTTAAACATTAAAAATTACGTGTATTCTCCCCAAATTTCCTTCTTTCTACATTTGAAACATAGGAATAGGAACTGGACTCGCATATGACAAACCTCAATTCTCCATTGGCCGCGGTCCTTTTCTTAAGCGGCGACCACACCCCACCAATTCTCTTCCTCCTCATCTCTGTCAAACCAATCAAAAACATCAGACTGTCATTAACCAAATCAAACCCTTAAGAGAAAGTTGATTAAAGAGGGAGGTGCAGCAGCGATGGAGGTCTTTAGGATCGGTCGTTATCGCCGTCATTTGGATGGTGGTTTTAGAGAAGCAGAGGTGTTCGACGAAATGCCAAGCCAAGTAGGGGTGCAAATCTTGAGAATGGAGAGCCCGCTCCATTTTCCATGTTTCAACGGTAAAAATCAAAATTTGGGGAGAAATAGTTTAAATACCTCAACTGAATTTTATTTTTATAATCTTAAAAAGGGTAAATTTTTCTTATTTAGTAAGGTTTAATTTTTATTATTAAATATTCAAGGGTCCAACTTTTTCACTTATAAAATTTTGAGGGTTTAATTTTTGCAATTGAAAGTTGAGGGGTATAATTACAACTTCTACTGTACTTTAATGGTTTTTACAATTTACCCAAAAAAAAAACTATAAAATTATGCTGAAAGCGAACAATATCACCATTGTAGAAATGTTGAGGGTCTCTTGTCCGAATGGCTCCCAACACTAACTTTCTAGGACAATCCTACTTCACTTGTGAATTTAAATTTACCAACTTGAGCTCCTTAAAAATCCACGTCATGCCAATATCTCCCTCCTCACTTAACCAGAGTTCATTAGGCTCACACTTCCTTCGTCAATAAGAATAGAAAGAATAGAAAGAAGTATCAACCTGAATATAACTCTTGTTAAGACATAAATTCTCAACTAAAAAATCATTGATTCGAATTCCAACTCTACAGTTTGTCCTTAAACAACAAAGGAAAGAAAAGAAAAAAAAAGTAAGGAGGTATTATAAAAGACTGCAACTGCAATAATTTGTTGACTTTCATTCATTTTGGTTAGGAAGGAAAAAAAAAGTTTAACTTAATACATGATTACTTCACAACTTGTGATGGTTACACCTTTCAAATTAGCCCACAAAAACAATAGAAAAGAAATCAAATAGTTGATGGAAAGGAATGAAAGTTGAGCAAAACCATGTGATAGAAGTCCCAAGATACACTTCCTTCTGATATGGGAGTTTGACCAAATGGGTTTCGTACCACATACTTCTGTACATTTTCAGCTTCAGCCAATCCTTCTAAATAAACCCTAAGAGCCCCTCCTGTACCTGCCACACACACACACACACGCCACAGCCTTATATATAATCTGTAAAATAAATTTTGTTTGATTTTTTAAATAATGAAACATGCTTTCAACTGATCAAAAAATATTTCGAGTTTGACTAATATGGTGAAAATTACTTTAAACAAGCATTTAACTTGTCTTTATTCTACCAGTATTTATAGACTTCACTTACAAGTCATTTTAAACTCATTCTGAGAAAATGTAAATATCATGCAAGTAAATTAAACTCGTCCAACAAAGTATCTCTTTTCATCTAGAAATATGTAAGAATATAGAAAAACAAATATTTATAGACTTCACTTAACAGTCATTCTAGAAATGTAAATATCATGCAAAACGTAATTTAAACTCACCCAACAAAGTATCTTTTTCATCTAGAAACGTGTAAGAATATGGAAAAACTGCAGTATGTGGCTGCAAGAACAAACATTTAGCAAAGGAATAATATCAGAAAAAATTGTAAGTAAATCAAAATCAAATAAAACCTTCCTATTCATGACATTCCTGATGAAAAAAGAGAGAGTATAATGTGATCAAAACATTGAGACTATCCATTGAATATAATCTTTCATGATCAAAAAAATATATTTACATACAGGATTAAGCAACGCCTTGTATGGTGAATCATCCAGCAACACCGTATTAGATTCGTTATAATCTCCCTGTTCCCATGGAAGATTCGGGTCCTGCTTCTCCCAAAGTCTTCTCAGTTCCTTGAAAACTAGATGTTTATGCTTGTTTTCAAGAGTACTAAATCCTGAAGCAGTGCAGTACGAAAGATCCTATAGAAGTAAATCCATTAAAGCAATGTCATTAGTAGTATATTAAAATACAGAGTTAAGTTGTGCTAAATGATTAAACTAGACGTTTATACTTGTCCACAAAAGAACTTTGAAACGGAAGAAAGTTTTAGTCCTCACCCAACAAAATAATAATCTGTGCTTCATGTCTCCTATCAAATAATCAACCATTTTTGACACGTTCTTCCTTCAGAGGATTAAGAGGCTTAATTACTTCCTTAATATAGTTCACTATCGAACAATGAAAGTTAATTTAAATACTAGAGATGAAATTAAGGTAAAAGAGGAACTAAGAAATAAATGACATTTGAACACAATTAATCCAACAGTACCTGTTTCTTGATGACCATATGCCAACTTCAAATCGCTCAAAGCAGAACTTCAAGAAATCTAAATAAAAAGGTCTTTTGAAAACTGAAATTCACAACCAGAATAATCAATATAGAGATAGAACATGCACTAAATTAATATAAAATGTTAATCAATCCTCACCTGCACGTCGAGCAATATTAATGTCTGCTTTCCTCTCCTTCGGAGAAGGACTTACAATATCGACAAGCACACCATTTATATCAAGAATGAGAAGTTTTTTCTGACTGCGAGGTGGTCGTGAAAGTGGAGGTTTGAATATCGACAAGGCATTTTCTTCTTTATGGCCAATACCAAGGGAAAGCTGTTGAAAACTGTCGGCTACTTCTTCAGTATTACTTTGATTAAGAAGTCTTGGGGATGACATTTTACTCGAATCTTGGGCACAAGTCAGAACGTCCTTCTCATGTAGGTTAATATTTGGATCCTGCGATTTGTCAAGGTACTTCAACATTGTCTGTCTGTCTATCCTTCCTTCTGCCACCACAAGAAATCATACTTAAAAAATTGTGATTGTACACAAATAGGACACTTAAAATGACTGTTATCTACCCTGCCACCATCTTCTATTATGATGACGGGTGTTGACAATGACGGTCATTGAATGTCAGTTTGTTATTTATCACTTTGTCATCTAAGATTAAAAATAAAGAACAATCAGGGTTTGACGTCTTTAGAAAGTGTCTTCTAAAGTTATAAAGATGACAAAAATAATTATCACCTACTCAGTCGTTAACAATGAGTTCTATAAACAACAATTTAGAATACTATCATCTTAAATGAAAATGGACAGTAAAGTTTCTAAACTGTCATCTCCTCGTATATCTAAAGTTAAGATGACAATGGTTAACAATGGTTATCCAACATCATAAATTTACCTTGTCAAAAAAGAAAAAAAACCATATATCTACCTTCATTTAAAACAACTAATAATACCTTATGGTACCTTAAACTTGTAAACAATTCTAGTGAGGGAACTCAACCTAACAAACAAAAGGTACAAAATTATAATCCATCAAGGGTAACCGATTTACAATTGGAAGGAGAGAGTACAATCACGTTTTAGAGGTCTAGTTCTCCACCCAATTCACTCAACCAAAACCTACCCAACTCCTTTCCGCCCTCCCCTTTTATTGGTCATAACATAATTACGAAAGAGGGCCCACACTTCACACAAAACCACACTCATCTCACTTCTCTCATGCACACCCAACTAGCATTTTCTTATTTACATAAAAACGACACAACCACCTTACTGACTAGACTCACAGGTATTATCTCACTTCCCTCATGCTTCTTTAACTTGAAATAAACCAGTTGAAATGGCTTTACTGTGTTGCCATACACTACCACTTGGACTAAATTCTTTCATTTCCTTGTGCATCCCCTATCATTACAGATTAGCTGCCATATGTTTATAAGTTCACAAAGCCCCAGTGTGCCCCCCAAGCCAACTCCTCCTCCTCCTTAGTGGTATTCTTGCAATAGGGTTATAATTAATGAAGAATTCTTGAGAATAAAAAAAAAAATCTCCCTTTCGACTTTGAATGACCACCTCCCACTATCAAATGAGTACTGTATAAATGCTCATGGAAAGAAAAAGGTGTTATCCAACTGTTTTTTAGTTCCTCTGGATGCTCATCGCTTACCACCGAGATGGAAGCCAAGGTAACTATCTAAGAAGCAGGGACACTTCATTTTGGGTAACGTGTCTGTGTCGGACACTCTGACATTCCGATATTTATCGGACACTTGTAGCTTAATAGATGTGTGTCACACACTAGTTGTAGAAAGTGAAAATGGATTAGGCACTTTTTAAGCAAAAGAAATAGACATAAATAGTAATATAAGACAATAATAAATTTTGAGAGTAAAATACATCAAACTCAATTTTTAAAACATAAAATTGCACAAGCTTATTGAATTTAAATTTCCTTGCGGTATAAAAATATATAGACCTAAAAAAAATGGATATTTTAATAAACGTGTCCTTGTTGTGTCCGTGTCTTATATTTTTAGAAATTAACGTGTCTTCGTGTCGTTTCATACCCGTGTCTCGTGTCCGTATATGTGCTTCTTAGATAATTGTTCTAAGACAAAGGAAAAAAGCATCTACTCCCTATTCTTGAGCCCAAGCCAAAACCTGTACTAAATTTCAAAATTATAACCTAATAACTTAGTCAACCCTTTTTGGAGCTTCACTGTTCTTACTTCTTTGTTCTTGAAGAAACTTCAAACCCTTCTGTTCTGTCCGTAGTAGTTACAAGCTCAATGCATTTACACAACCAATGTTTTTAAAAGCATCAGGCACACTAAAACTAAAAGCACTAAGTGAAAAGCACAAAAAAATAGGACTTTTCTTAGTGAAGTGCTGAATAGAAAAACGTATTTCAGAGATTCTTTATAAAAAAAAAAAAAAAAAATTAAAAAATAAAAGAAAAAAGAAAAGGGAAAAGGAAAATGGGGCTGCAGGCACACTAAAGCATGGCTATGAGGCATGTGCCTCAGTGTGCTTTAGTGAGGGGAACTCAGTCCAAGAAGCGAGGTGCTTACCTCTCGCTTTTATAGGGTGCACTATTCAAAACATAGTTACATCTATAATCAAAGTTTCAAACACCATGCTATATCATATATTGCATACTACTACGAGTTCTTTGAGCATACAAACTCAATGCTTGCAGACAAACTCAATGCTTGCCCCTTTTTAAGAGTCTCTTGCTCACAAAGTCCAAGTGAAGCCAAAAAAAAAAAAAATTGACTAAACTTGCCAATAGAACCTAACAACATAATAAGATAAAGTTGACATGTTCCCTTGAGTCTACCATACATAGACTGCTGTGAACTCTTAAGCTATAATTTCTTTCATGTTTCCCAATTGGAATGAAGCTTAAAAAAAGCTAGGTCTGGATCGAAGCCAACCGGAACATATTCTGGCCAAAATAAGCTTGCACTTCTGATTTACTGAGTACAAGAAAATTTTATTTTTCTCCTAATTTTTAGGCCACATATCAAATTTAAGGGCTAATTTCTGTTAAATTCCCACTTTTAATCCTCCAGAACATCATTAGTTCATGTCATACAATATCCCAAAGAGAGTTTAACTTTTACCTTGAGAGATTAGATGTTTAGAACTCGTAGAAAATTTCATGAGTATCATCTTAAAGATACTGCTAACTTTCTAATACACACACAAATCTTAGAAGCTTTTGCGGTTGATTATTGCTTAAAGCACCCCTTGGTTTCACTTTAAATCTCAAGTGCTTAATTGATTCAAATACATATATATATATATATATATATATATATATATATATATATATATATATATATATCAGATTTTATCTAGAAGCTCGAAAGCTCACAAATTATTGCAGGAAATTTGCTAATAGATACTCTCAATTTCATTTACGTAACTTTCTGAGATTTAACTTCACTTTAAATCTCAGAAGCTTAATTATAACAAAAAGAAAAATAATATTTTATCTAGAAGCTCGAAAGCTCACAAATTATTGCAGGAAATTTGCCAATAGATATTCTCAATTTCATTTACGTAACTTTCAATCACAACCTCAATTCAACCGATTTCTTTTTCTACAATTCCATATCTGAGTCTACTTTTATGTTATATTAACTGAGAGACTAAAATTAGCACCCGAAAACCATAATTTAATTTGAACTTTATAAAAAATATAACATAACTCCAGTTTTCTGTAGAAATAAAAACCTTGCTTTGCTATAATTCTTTCCTCTTCTTATAATATCTCTAATCAAATCCATCCTTCCTACCCAATATTCCAGAAGCACAATGAGTTTAGAACCAACTTGTGAAATAAGTGCCTAGAGCTGCCTTATTCAATCCACCAAAAACAATCAGCCTCTTTAAGTGCCTAGAGCTGCCTTATTCAATCTACCAAAAACAATCAGCCTCTTTTGAATATTTACACTTCCTTTTCTTTGACTTTCTTTCTTTTCTATCCTAACCAAGATTCCAGCATTTCATACCCCATTGTCAGGTTTTAAACCCTTACTTAATTACGTAAAGGAAAGATGATGAAGAAAAGTTCAAGGCTGTGAAGACTTCAGGGTTGAAATGCATTTCCAAACATAAGTCTTGGCCTTCCATTTCTGCATCCTCCGTTATTTCCTTTCCCTTTTGGCCTTTCTCCACTTAAGCCCGGTAATGTATATTCATTTCGAGAGTAAGATCTAAAAAACACATCAACTTTAAGTGCAAAGTCCACTATTTCTGAACTAACAAATAGTTAGGACGTGGTTATTTTGTTAACTCATAACCAGCCAATAACTGCCCTGAGTTCTAAACGATTCTGTTTCCCGCTTTTGTTTAGGTTGCTCTACAACTAGCTAACTGCTAAGTATATAATAGCTTCAATTTACACAAAGACTGAATTAAGAAAGGATAGGAAAAATAGCCACCGCATGCAATCACAAAGTTCACCGCACTCATAAAGTCGAACAATATTTTATAATCCTCTATGCTTGAACAGACGCCTTATATTGTATAGACAATCTTGCATCAGATTTTTACTTATGAACATACAGGGAAATCGCACCCTTTAAAACAACATAAACGACAGAGAAATCAATCTAATATGTAGAAGATCATCGTGCTATAGATTTCTTAAGAATATTCAGCTTCAACACCCGTATGGAGACTACAATCCCAACCCATTTTTTACCAAAAAAATTTAGGGATAACATCAGCCTTTATACCTTGTCCGAAGAGGAACATGAAAATTATTAATATTTCGTTTGGCCAAGTCTTGAGCAACCCACCAAGCAAAAAACTACCGAAATCTCAGCATGAGATCATGTATTGCCCCCAAATAAATGGCAGGTCTAAACTAACGAAGAATCACATAAAACTATAATTACAGAAAACAATCGTAAAAGAAGTTACCTCTTCCGCAATCCCTGTCTTACTGGTGCTGAACGTCGCTTCGCATCCCCGCAGTTGATCGAATTAGCAAAACTGTAAGAAATCAAAGAGAATCGAAGGAGAAATAAGATGAAGAAGGAAAGGGGGAGAATCGGAGAGAGCCTTGGAGATGAAATTGTAGAGATTGAGAGCGAAATTTTTAGAGAGACGCACGCGGGAATGTAAATGGGAAGCAGGCGGGCGCGAGGCGTCCGTTACCCACGATTTTGATTTTGACAACCAACATTTTTTAACTTGATTTTTTACTGTAAAACCTCCCNCATATTAGTCAGTACCCTTTAAAAAGCAAATTTCACGCTAATTGAGATTCGTATACAATCAAAATGTCACAAGTTGAAATTTCCTACCACCAATTATTGTACTAAAAAATATCGGAACAATATAAGTAAAAGCGTCTTTTTAACGTTTAGGTATTGAAAATCTCATAATGATGATTTGGTAAAGTTTATATTTTTACTTAGCTATTGAAAATATGATATTAAAGGGTGGTTTGGTAGAGTTTATATTTTTGGTTAAATTACAAATATATATATATATATATATATAATATATTATAATATTAGTTTAGGACTTTAGCTTAGAGGCTTATTTTCTCAAACCATCCTTATTCCTTCCTCAACAAGGCAAAGGCAAAGTAAAACTTTTCCCCAAGTCCACGGAATGCTATCAAAGTTGAAACTTGAAAGGTTCAACGTTACTATAATTTAAACACATTTTCTAAAAAAATTTTAGAATTTATCTTAACCTCTTTAAATTGATGAGTTAATCCATCGTAGATCAAACAAAATTATCTATAGTGGGATAATTAATCCATAATATTTTTTAAATGTAAATTATGTTAGATAAGTATAAATTTAGATTTCGAGATTTGAGTTACAAATTTTGATCTTTATTAATTATTTAATGAGATTTATGTTGTATTTGAATGATTATATTTAATATGTAGGATGAAGCTCCTAGACTCAAATCAATATCATTGCCTTTCTAATTTTTTCAAAAAATTCCCCGTCAGAAATTCACATATTATTTTTCCCTAGAATTTCTCCACATCGCCGCAGGAATTTATACCGGGTTGTTTCGTCGTTAGCTTCCTCTATGTAAGGACTTTTTCATTTTCCAATATCGTGGAAAACTTTTCCAAATTTTCTCTAAATTCAAATATTTTTCCAATTTTTCTTGAGATTCCAATATCGTGGGCGGCGGCTTTTTTTTTCGGTTGGGTTGATTTTTTATTTTTATTTTTGGCTAATTAATTTTTTCAACTTATTAATTAGGTGGCATAACATATACTTCTTCAATACTTATTTTCCAACCCTCTTTACTCCTCCCACGTTATATACAAAAATATTAAGTTATATAATATAGACCTGGATATATGTCATATAGTTATATGTAACATATACTTTGTAATAACATAGTAGAGACTCCACAAAATCCTAGATTTTTTTCTCTATTTCTCGAGTAGCCACCCCCATGGTGTTCCTAATTGCTAACCCTTCCTTCGCCGACGACTGCAACATCCCATGACCCAATCTAACCATGAACGCCCATGACCCAGGACCCCAGTGATGATCTATAGTGGCGTGATGATGAAGAGATCGAACTTATAAATCAATTCTCACTACTTCTATTTACTAGTGGAACTCAAAACTATAATGTCGTTAAAAAGTTCTAACACTTTCGTGTAAAAAAAATTTTCTAACATTGTCAACTGTATCATTTATTGTTGGTGAATGTTAAAATTAACCGTAAAGTGAAAGTTGACTAAATTTAGAGAAATGTTTAATCCGGCTACCTAAGAGAATAAAAATCGAAATTTCTACTAACGTCTTATAAATTTTATAGAAAATTTGAGAAGGAACTAGAAACTTTCCTCTTTTAAGTGATCTAATTCATCCTCTAAATGTTACGTTAACTCACTATATCTCTGGTCAATTGTGGGGAGTATACAGTATAATTGTTTAATGTTTAAACATAAGAAATAACTAAATGGAACATTTAAAACCAGTAGAACTAAATTTTAAAGAAATGACACCCAAATATTAGAAAGTAAAACACATATTTATAATTTAGCTCAAGATTAAAAAGGAAATTGACCAAAATAAATAAATAAATAAATATTATATATTTATCCCATATCTATATATAGTAGAACAAAGTTTCAAAAGTTGATGTCTACGGAAATGTCGAGGTCTCAGTTTTACAAATATGTTGATGAAAATATCGATAAAATATTGATGTCAATAGATATCGTAAAATCATATAATTAAGAAATATATTTAAATCAATAATCTAGATATTTTACTAATATTTTTTTAAAAATATTGATGCAGTCCTGGTGTCGATGTCAAACTTATGAACCTATAATGTGGATCGAATTTTAATATCATGAAAACCAACCTCATTGCTCATAAAACATAGGAACTTGTAGTTGAGAAGTCAAATTATTAGGGGACAAAAAGGCAGTTGAGATCCAAAAAAGGGTACAGTTGGAAAGCAAAGTTGAAAGAGAAGGGAATGGGAAGAGGCATTAAAGAATGAAGCTTTTGGGCTAAAGAAGGGAAATGAAAAGTTGGAAGGAGCAAATAAAATCACTTTAAACAAAACCAGAAGCTTCTCTTTTACACTTGTTTTCACAAACAACATCCAGGAATCATGCTTTCTTTTTTCTCACCTACCAAACCAAAATAACATAACAACACCCATTCCCCCAAAAAGGTTTTGTGTATAAAAGGAGACACCCAATTTTTTTTATATAACAAAGTCTCCAAAGGAGAGGAATTGTTTAATGTTATATTGGGTTCGTGTAACTGAGAGGGAATAAAGAGACTTGATTTTGTTGTTTTCAAAATTTCTATAAAAATTTTTAGAATGTTTATGAAAAACGGGGAACAAGAAATATAGATAGTTGTCAAATGTTCAAGTTTCTCGATCCCAAACCCACATAAAAATATTGGAAATGGTCAAATCAACTTTCTTGCTTCTGATTCTTATTTTCAATTTTTTTTACACATAAATAAAAATAATATTTTATCATTTTTTACTTTTAAAATGAATAATAAATATTAAAAGTAATAATAATATAGAAATTTGAATATTTAATCTAAAAAATTAATTTTTATACAAAGTTTTTACTTTTGAAGGTAAAATTTAATGGTTATCTTATTTTTTCAGTTAAAAAATATAATGAATAAGTGATAATTATCCAATGCAATTCTTTTTTTTTTCTAAGAAAAAAAAGATAGAAAAAACAAAAATGAGAAAAAAAAAACAAAAGTGAGAACACTATCAAGTGAGCCTATAATGTTAACAAAGGACCCTTTTTTTTAAATGGGTTTTCGAGAGTTCTATTTCCTATTTCCTATATTTTATTTTAAATTTGAAAAGGTTTTAATTTCAACTGACAAATTTGATTATTCTTATATATAAAATGGATAATTCATAACTTATTTGCATTTTCTTTGAAATTTATAAAAAGCATAATACAAAATAAAACAAATGCAACTAAACTTATATTTGGTTAAATTAGTTTGAGCCTAGTTTCAGCTTCATCCCTCCATGTTATTTTAGTTTGGCTACTTTTTAACTTTGTTTGTTTGTTTTAGTCTGAGTGACAATTTTGATCTTATTTACAAAACTTTAATATAAATTTTTTATACAATGGAAATATTTTAATACAAGATTATGACAACATTCCAAGAAATTTAGGGCATATTTTGTATGCAATCCAAATTTTGTTTATTGTTTTCAGATTCAATGAAGTAAATGGATTTAGTGAATATCAGTTTTCGGATGGTGTGTTTTCAGATTTTGAATTTAAAACTTTTAAAAGGTAAAACTCATGTCATTCTTGTTAAAATTTAAAAATGTCAAATATAATATATTATAAATTATATAATATTATAAAATAATAATTCTACAATATCTAAAATATATATGTCAATAAATTGATTAATATTATTTTAAATTAAACAACATGTTAGTGGGCAACTACACTAGTTTACAAATAAATATTTTGAATTTTTTTTAAATTGAGACTCAACTTATAACCAATCTACTACCAAATACATATTTTAAAATACTAAAATCATAGAATACAACTTTGTTTTACGACGTCATTGAATACTTTGTTTTCATATTATTATTTTCGAATTACCAATCAAACGCAATGAAGTGTCATGTTAAAATTACTATCAAATGGAAAAAAAATGAAAATGAAAGAACTAAGATCATCACTTCATACTAAAATAGACATTTCGAAAGTACAAGACTAAAGTTAGTAAACAAAAGTTAAAAGGATAAAAATAGAAGTTTTTGTATACAAAATCCAAAATAATATTTCAACCTTTAAAGTTTAACCATTCTTCAAGCCAATTTCAAAATTATTATTTTCTATAACTTCATTTTTTAAAATTTTATATAAATTATAAAAACTTGGGGGTGGTTTTCTTGAAGAATATACTCTAGTTTCATTACCATGCACTAATTGATTGAGAGAGCTAGAGAAGTTAATAAATACATTATTTTGTCAAAGTAAATCTAATTATGAGAATATTTGTCCTTTACTTAACAGTAATTAACATCTGTGTTTGACAAAGAGGACATGAGATCAAATCTCTCTTGAGTTGGATGATCGACGTTGAGTATCTAGCACTAGATTTCTCTTCTATAACCTTCTCCCTCGAATTTGCTATAAGTCAGGAGATACTTTGAGAAATTGGGTCTCCAACACACAGCGATGCTTTTTTTAACATCAAACTTTCCAATTTAACTTTTTCTTTATTCAATTAGTTTAAAGTAAATATTGCATACCGATACAATGATTTCATGATACCACCTGAAAGAGTAATAATACTCCAATTTCAAGAGTCTACGAGTTTTATAAAACATTATTGACGAAAAAAATGTGAAAATGTTTAGAGAGAAATTTGATATAACTTATCAAGCTCTTAGTGGTAAAATTTTACTTTTTTTCCTCTTATAAATTGAAGAAAATCTCTAGCCTGGTAAACTTGTGCAGCTAAACTCTATCAAACTTGTATTAAAAAAGAAAAGGAAAGGAAAGAAATGAATTATTCTTCAAACATTTTTTAATTTATTCAACATTTACCTAACAAAACGGTGAATAATATTGTTTGCATCTCAAGTTACTAATGGTTAGGTTCAAAGAATTTGATTGTTTCTTTGAATAAAGAAAATATAGTAACTCAATTCATACGGCAAGTCGAGTAATATTATTTGTTGGTTTTAAATTACAAAATTGATCCTTATAAAAAGAAAATTGACTTTATATTTAGAAATGAGATGTGTGAGTGCTACCAACTTAGAACTTTATTATGTAAAATTAAAATGAAATAATGTGATTTTGACAACCAACTAAACGAGGTTAGAATTAAATTTGGGATTTTTAGATGAGTTTGATGATCACCCCATAGGCCTAACTCCAATATTCAACTCTTTTTCAGCATGTTTTATCTTTACATGCTTCCTTAATAAAAGAGTTCAACATGTTTAATTTTTATGTTATATAAAAGAAAAATAGTTCAACCATTATCAAAAATTGAATTGTCAACCTTTTAGACGATAATACTCGAATTAATTTATAATATCTTCCCACATTTAGGGTATAAATTATAGAACCGGTAAGATAAATAAAAAAAAATGTTAGGAATTGATTTCACAACAGGATCACATAATTATTTTGTAAGATTAAGGTTCAGACACTTTGAAAAAAAATTATGTATTACCCTAAAAAAAATTGAAGTGGAAGAGAGGAAAAAAATGTTTTATAATTATGTGTTGAACAACACGCAGGTCGGAGGTGGCCATCATTTTGATTTTCTGAATCAGAAAAACGAAAGAAAGCTCCAATGGCTATGGCTTTCCCTTCGACACTATCAATACGATTCTGTTCTCTCTGCTCTCAATATTCCCCCTTTTCCCTTTCTCTCTAGACTCTGTTTTCTCTCTCCTCTGCTTCTGCATGCGTCAACAATGGGGAACCTCTGCGCCATACTCTCGCCGCCGCCCAAACCAGCGGCGAAGCAACCGGCGAACACCTTCCCGGACCCGCCGCCTCTGTCCATTTCCAGCAACCGATGGTCTCGAATGCGGTCCTCGCGGAGGGAGAAGCCCGGAGAGTCGCTGACTCCGGAGCAGGCTCTGGAAGTAGCCGCGGCGGCGCTCTACCAGAAACGCCCTCTGGATTCTTCTCTGCCGTTTGATCGGTCTACTTCGCTCCGGCAACCGGCCCCCGGCAAGAAGAATCGGAACGCCTTGCCGCGGAGTTCGAGCTCGCGGCCTCGCTCGCTCACTGACCCTCTTCTTCAGCCTCATCAGCTTGTTAATCAGGTTGGTCGAGATTGTTGGACTTCGAGTTTTGAAATTGATATGAATGATCGGAGATTCGTTGTTTGATTGTTGATGGCTGTTTTTTTTCCTTCTTTATGATGCAAATTGTGAATTTTGTTTGGGGGATTTCTAATTTATCTGTGTGGGAAAACCGAATCATTTTTGGGTCAGTTTTGGAACCAATTTTAGTCAGAAATTCAATCGGATTGATCCCTCTAAGTGCATTTACTTTCACTTTGAATGAGAGCATTTAAACATTCAATTGGATTCCAATCATTCAAAAATATAATGAAATGAATGCTATCTAAAATTTTCTCATCCTGTATTTAATAAACAGTTTCAGTGTAAATACTATATGTCAAATATGGACATTTTAAACTAGAAAGAGAATAAATTAACATAGTTTTGATCAATGGTTCTCAAAATAAAGGAGTAAAGAATGATAATAGTCCCCTGAAAAGGAAAGGAGTAAAACATAATGATGTGTATAATTCCAAAGATTTTAATATAGAATCGGAATCAGTCTGTATTGATGCACGTCTAAATCAAAATAGACCAATTGGATATTCTGTTCAAATTATTAATGGAGATTGCAACTATATTCTGCCATTTATTTTGTCTTTATTCTTATACCATTTTACAAATGGTTATTGTTTGAATTTCTTGGCTAAAGGATTTGTGGTTCTAATAAGTTTCAAATTTACAGGATATAAAGTTAGATGACTTGGAAACAAATCACTTTGTTCTTGTCCATGGAGGTGGTTTTGGTGCTTGGTGTTGGTATAAAACTATTGCCCTTCTTGAAGAAGCGGGCTATAGAGCCACGGCAATAGACCTAACTGGCTCAGGAATTCATTCGTTTGATCCGAACAGCGTCGTGAATCTGGCGCAGTATGTGCAGCCACTTACTGATTTCCTTGAAAAGCTTCCTGATGACGAAAAGGTTTCCTCATTCCCATATCAAACGTCCTTTTTAACTCAGTTTATTAAGTATGTATATATTCATAGATATACGATATGTACATACATTAGTATGTATGTATATTGAATGCGTATTCTCATGGGTGTCGAGAATATACCGAAAATATTAAATTTACTTAAGCCCAATAGTTGGAGACCTTCTCGGGTCTAGGGGTGGTTGAACTATAATGTTCTTGAGACAGTTTCTCTGTTTCAATCGACTTTGTTTGTTTCCAATCACGCTGGTGTATTTTGTGCTTAACTTCCTCTCTCTAAGCCGAATTTCTTTCATATTTTTAATTTATGCAGGTTATCCTAGTTGGGCATGATTTTGGTGGTGCTTGTATTTCATATGAAATGGAATTATTTCCTCTTAAAATTGCAAAGGCTATTTTCATTGCTGCAGCAATGTTGAGTGATGGCCAAAACACTCTTGATATGTTCTCTTTACAGGTATTCTCATCTGCTGATAAATTCCAAATTTTTTGTACCTTTGGACTTGATTATATATATGTTGAAGTTTGAATTCATTTAAAATCAGTATCTGTCGGTATGAATGCTTAGTTTGTGAGAATTCAGATGCTGTTTCTCTTCTCTCTTGTTTCTGGCTTTTAGTCGATGCTGCTCGGCAATCTTTCTGCACTCCTAGGATCTTGTTGATTTTAGTTTCTTTCCAATGAACTATGCTTGATTCTGTGCTAGGCTGGTTCGGACGATGTCATGCGACAGGCTCAAGTCTTCGTGTATGCGAATGGCAACGGCAAGACTCCAACTGCTATTGAATTGAAAAAACCATTGTTAAAGGACTTGTTCTTCAATCAAACTCCAACCAAGGTAACTACGGGCTCGTTTGATAACGTTTTCGTTTCTTGTTTCTTATTTTCAATTTTCTTAAGAAATCAAAGAATTTTACAACTAACTTTGTTTCTTGTTTCTACTTTTTTGGAACATTCTCACAATTGTATAGAAATTTTGGAAACAACACAAACAAGTTTCTATTTTCTTGTTCTCATTTCCAATTTGTTCCAAAACATAAATAAAAATATTGTTTTATCATACTTGAATTTTGAAACAAGAAACAGGAACATTACCAAACGTGCCCTACTTTTCTTCTTTAATTCTTTCACTTTCTTACATAACTCATATAGATTATGATATACCCGAAACAATGAACAAATAGTGCGATCACTAAAACTTAGCCAATTGATCACTCCATTGTCCTTACTCAGGATGTAGCTTTGGCATCTGTTTCAATGAGACCGATACCCTTCCCACCTGTTTTAGAAAAACTCCATCTTTCAGATGCAAAGTACAGATCAGTGAGACGGTTTTACATACAGACGCTGAACGACAATGCCGTACCCGCCCCAATCCAGGCGAGCTTGATCACAAGAAACCCTCCGGAACAGGTCTTCAGTCTAAAAGGTGCAGATCATTCCCCCTTTTTCTCAAAGCCTCAGGCATTGCATAGGCTATTGGTAGAGATCTCAAGAATCAAAAGATCTTAGGAAGCAGTCTCTCTCACCAGCTAGATTGGTTTGCATTGAAAGTTTTTCCAAGCTTTTGCTTTATTGGTATGGCATGTGAATGAATAAAGTTGGTGGGGCTGCTCTCCAAGAGGGATGAAATGAAAAGCCCTGATCTTGCCACCTCATTTTCTATTTCTTCTTCTTATTTTTTTATAAAAATATTACATTAATTAAAAGAGCAATGAGGTTGCAAGATGAGAATCATCTGGTCCCAAAACGGGCTGTTTTAATGGCCTTAATTGGAGGAGAGGTCAGCCCAAAGTTTGGGTATCAAAGTATCAATAATATGAATGCAATTAGGCATTGAAAGAAGTTCGGAATCAAGTTATACTTTCCTCTTTGCTTCTGTTTTTATTTTATTTTTTTAGGGAAAGATAACTACATATTGCATCAAGGTTAAAATACTATTTTGGTCCTGTACTTTCGATTTTGGTTCATTTTGATCTTTGTACCTTTGAATGTTCATTTTGGTCGTTGTAATTTTGTGTTCATATTGGTCATTATACTCTAAATTTTTGTCTATTTTGGTCAATTGTGTTTTCTAAATATTTATTTTGTTATCTACATTTTTTGGTCAATTCATTTTATTTTTTATCTCATTTTTCCGATCACAGTTTTAACACAATACTTCACTTGATATATTTCTTGAAATGTAGTCATAACTTTAAATTAAAGCGTTATGTATAAAATTTGTGTTAAAATTTTACTAATAGAGACCAAAATAGCCACTTTCTAAAAGTTCAATGACTAAAAACATATTTAAATACATAGACTAAGATGAACCTCCGAACAGTGATCAAAATATAGATAAAGCTAAGAATACAGCTACGGAAATAATATTTTAATCTGTATTAAATATGTAAATATTGTCTTTTATTTAATTGTTATTTTCCCCTATTTTCAGAAAAGAAAGAGGGGATTAGAAAAAGAAAGATATTAGAACAACCAACCACTTTTTTTTTTTTTTTTAAGGATAAATACGTAACTAGGTGCGCCTATGTTTAGGTTTGCTCTCTGATAAATTTTTCGTTCTCTGTATTTTAAAATTATGCTTCCAAATGTACGGTTTCTTCGATGTGTTTATCACCTCTCTTCAAAAGGCATTTGAATTCCAAACTAAAATCCAATGACCCAAGTTGGTAAAACTATTTTAGTTTTCATAATTTGAGTTAAGTTGAAAAACTAGATAACAAAACACATAAATACATAGTGTTTATAAGCTTAATTTCCAAAAATAAAAAACAAAAAATAAAATGTTATTTATAAGCTTAATTTCCAAAAATAAAAAACAAAAAATAAAATGTTATCAAATGACACCTTTAAAACACAGTTTTTAAAAACTTGATTTTGTTTCAAAAATTTGATTCAGAAGTCAAACATATTGTGAAGAAAGTTGAAAAATACATGCAAATGCAAAACAAATGGCGAGGAAGCAAAGCAAAGAAATCTGCGTCACAAATGAGTCCAAAGGTATTGAGCTTAACAATGTTGAGTAGTTTAATTTTAAGTGCAAGAAGAAGGGTGGGCAGCATATAACATGTGTTGTGGCCTCAGTAAACATGCAAGAATTATATTGGACCCAACGTTTTTAAAAAATATATCGGGAGAAAATTCACACACCCGCGAGTCAAGCTTTCTCTCGACGTTTTTAAAAAATTGTTGGGATAGGTCTATTTCTCCCGATGATTTTTAAAAATCCGTTGGGAGGAGTTTACTAATATCAAACAACTAGAATAAACTCATAATTCTTGTAGCGTAGGTCGATGCAGATATGAGGGATTTGGGCTTGAAAGATGATACTTGTATTATTGAATTTGATTTTCTGCTGGTTAAAAATTCAGTTTGAAAATAATTTAACTCAACATTTCTCCCTGTCATACTTTAAGTTTGATAGCTTCCCCATTATTTTTGCTAGGTGTAACCAAAGTATTAAATCCAATGGAAGACATTTTCATACGGTCATGAGTGGGACATTTTCGGAAAAATTATATTTCGTGGACTAAATACAATTTATATTTGATATTTGGGGTTCATACAATCTCTAATATTTATCATATGATTCTTTCCCTTGAATTCTTGGTTTTGATCGGCCTCTTGGCGGCTTGTGGGCGGCTTTGTTGATCTTGATCGGTCTATCGGCAGTTTGTTGATCTTGATCGGCCTATTGGCGGCTTGTTGATCTTGATCGGCCTCAAGCTTGGTGATGATCTTGATCGACCTCTGGCTTTGTGATGATCTTGATCGGTAGGCTTTATGTACTTGTTGATCTGAATCGTTGATGATGATAATCCTAGGATTTTGATCCTATGGAGGATGAAGGATTTTGATCCTCTGCATGATGGATGATGGATGGGATGAAGGGATGGATCAGAGGAAAGATTTTGATCCTCTATAGGAATGGGATGTGCAGCTCTGCAGGATGATGGAGGAGAATTTTAGGATGTAGGATGGAGGATTTTGATCATTTCCAAGATAAAGGATTTTGATCCGGATGGATTAGATGGTGAATGAACCTTCTACTCATAGGATCTTTCATAGACCTTAGCTCGGCTTGGACTCTGATTATAAATTCATTGCCACGTGGCGCAATCCAATTGGATTAGCTTATATCATCAAATAGGCATGACAAATTTGATTGGACCAACTTATATGTCATATGTGACGCAATCTTATTAAATCAACTTATGTCATAACTTAATTTGATTGGTCGAATTCAAATATCCAAAAATAATATGTGACATTATTTAATTGGCCTCAATTTAATGACATATAATATTGTTATTATAATTACGTGATAGTTTATGGTTTGCTGAAATTTATCAATCAACAATCATTAATATCAACGTAATAATAAAGCTACACTTACTAAAAAAAAAAACAGGAAACCTTTGTTTGTTAATTTAAATAATTTGTATAGATTTCTTAATTTTTATAATAGTGACATCAATATTTATTTCCATCAAATTAGAAAATATCTAGAATTTTGGGTGTAACTCAACATAGGCCCATAACCTCGAGATATTTATTTGGACTAGTTGTTGAATGCATTTTCTTTTTTCTTTTTATTTTATTTTTCTTAAAGATAAAAGGTGCATGACCCAAAATAAGGTCCTAATAAAGTAGGAAAAGTCTACACAATTCTGTTTTCATTTTCACTTGATAGAACACACACATTGAAGGAGTGCAAAAAGTTGCATGGGTCCAAGATGGAAAAATCAACATGGTCCTTCAATATCTCTATTTAAATTAAATTAATATCTTGTCACTTAAAGAATGAACAAACCACCACTCAATCCAAAAGCTTAAGTTGATGAGTTTCATTTATATGGATTCTAACCTAAACCATTTGGCAACTTTAATCAATTTATATACTTTTCCTTCTAATTTTTCTAAAGAAAAAATCAGAGTTTTGAAAAGATCTTTTGGATTTGTGTTAAAAAATTCAAGCGATGTAGAAGATAATTTTATAATTTAGGCTTCTTTTATTATTATTATTTTTTGGTTGACGGGTTGAATAGTGTCTTATTTCTTATCTTATCTCTAAATTCATTGGTTAAATTTCAAATTTCGTTAGGAGATAAAATAGACCACTGTGTTATTTCAATTGTCTATGTATGACTGCGAAATTTAAGCTCTAAATTTGGAAAATAATTGTACATTTTTAGTCATACTATCAAGTTTTCAGATTCAATCACGTAAGTAAACCAAAGATGTTAGAACAAGATTTTAGTAAAACATTTGACTTGTAGTCAGTCATATACTAACTTCCAAAATATACACGTCATAAAGATGAAGAAAGATGGTTGCTTCTCACCCGCACAAGCTTCCCTTCGGATTGGGATTCCATTTCTATCTCGTTCTGGTCCAGCTGTGTTTCGCATCTTCAATTCGGGTTAAATTTTTATCGATATATGTTGATATTCTATAAATATGTATTATGATATTTCCTTCCATATTTTCATATGTATATAAATTTGATATCCATATAAGATGTGAACTCTATTGTAAAAACAGAAAATATAAACAAAATAGTATAAGTGAACCTAATATTAATAGTAACAAACTTTAATTTATTTTGCAGTGCGAAGTGATTATTTATTAATTTAAATATTATTCATAACTTTTTTTAATAATTTTTAAGATTTTTAAGATATAACCATCAAAATTAGGGACGGCAAAAAATTCGCGTGAACCCGATCCGAGGGTCGGGAACCCCGATTTGACCAGGACAGAGTCAAACTAAAAATTAAAGCCATAATTAAAAATATTTTTGTTTTCTACAAATTATTTTTATTTTCTCAGAAGTTATTAGTTTTTTTTCCACTTTTYTTAAAAACACATTTAAATATTTTTACCCAAAATTTTTTAAAAAAATTACTTTTTTAAAACTATATATTTTTTAATTCTTAAAATTTAGCTTAGACTTTGATTTTTTTTAATTTTATTTTAAATAACTATACTAATTGTACCAGCGTCTATTAATTTAATAGGTTTCAATTGTATTCCTTTTCAATTTTTTTTAGTTTCACTCCTTGCGAAAATTATCAATAGGTGATATTTTTTTATAAAAATTAAGAAACATGGTGTAAAATTAGAACTTTTAAATCATTAAAAAAAATAAAATCAAAAAAATCAAAACTTAACTACACAAAGGACGAAGTATATTTTGTATAATTTTTTATAATATTTTGTATAATTTATCATATATATTTCGATCAAAAATTGAATTTATTAGTATACAACTTTAAATCTTATTTCTTATATCTCAGATTAAGGAAATAGTACTTTAACCACTTCAACTATGCTTGTTTTGTGAATTACGTGACACTTTGTTTATAAACAACTCATTCCCATAATTTTTGAAACTATAAATATTGTCAAAAAGCCCCTTGACACAAAAAAAAATTTGCAAATCAGCCATCTTCTTCTTCGTTATCTTGCAGTGGGGTCCTTAATCTCAGAGAAAACAGTCCCCGACATCCCTTTACTATACGCAACACTCGAACCGTCACCATTGCTTGTGGTCACATCACTGCTTACGCCCAACGCCGACGACCCGAGTTTCTCGTCAACGGTACTACTGAACATCTCCTCCATCAACCACCGCTCTTCGCCGCCACCGCCGCCATCGTCCCCTCCCTTCTTCTTTTTCGTCGCCTCCTGCAATTGCAATGCAAACTCCAATCCCCACACCACATCGTTCATCGCCGGCCGCTTGATTCCATCATCTTGGATGCAACTCACCGCCATCTCCATGAATTTTCTCAAACACTCCGGCGAGATCTCGTCCTTGATTTTCGGGTCGATGATCTGAGCCACCGTGTTGTCGCGGTGGCATCGCCGCGCCCAATCGGCGAGGTACGCTTGCTTCTTGTCGGCGGTGCGCATCAATGCTGGACGACCGCAGAGTACTTCGCAGAGGACCACTCCGAATGAGTACACGTCGGATTTTTCTGTCAACTGCTGCCGTCGGTAGTACTCTGGATCTAGRTATCCGAAGCTACCTTTGACCACCGTGCTGACGTGGGCTTTGGACATGCTCGTCGGCCCCACTTTCGACAATCCGAAATCAGAGACCTTCGCGACCCATTTCTCGTCGAGTAGAATGTTAGTCGTTTTGACGTCGCGGTGGATGATGGTGTGTTTGGCTCCGGTGTGGAGGTAGTGTAGCCCTCTTGCAGCTCCGATGCAGATCTGGAGGCGCTGCTGCCACGTCAGGGGAAGTTCGTCGTCGTTGCCGTAGAGGTGGTTTCGAAGGGTTCCGTGGGACATGTAATCGTAGACTAGAATCATTTCGTTGCCGTCGTTGCAGTACCCAATTAGAGAGACGAGATGGAGATGGCGAAGTTGTGAGAGCATCTCGATCTCTGTTTTAAACTCGTGCGCTCCCTGCTTGGAACCTGGTTTCAATCGTTTGATTGCCACTTGGGTTGCTCCGTCGTCAATGTTGCCTTTGTACACGTTGCCAAATCCGCCGACGCCGATGATGAAAATATCGTCGAAATCTTTGGTGGCGGCTCTGATCTCAGCCAATGAAAAATAACGGCATAGATTAGAGGGGAGATTCGAGCTGCGAGTTTTGCTCGACTTGTTCGTTGAAATGGAATATGGAGCCCACCAAGTAGTTCCATCGGTGGAGGTCTGGTCCGTAAATGTCCTACGTCGCCGGAAAACAAACAAACCCAAAGCTAACATGGCGATCACTCCTCCAACCACGACAGGTACTACAATCGCCACCACTTTACTGTTTGAATTCTTCGATTGTGGCGTCGATGGTGGAAGAGGTTGGGTGGGGATGGTGGGATTTGGGTCTGGATTTTGACCGGCGAGGTTGCCACTCGAGTCATTTAATTTGAAGATTTCAATACCATTCAAGATGACATTGGTAAATCTAGTTAGAACGTCATTTGGGTTTGCTTGGAGCTTAACGGAGAGATTCACTGTCTTTTCGCCTTTGCTACTAGGCACATTCACAACATAATCTCTGCGAATCGGAATCCCTTTCCCGCCAGCCCAAAAAATAACGTCTGCGGATGACTCGGCGATCATTTCTTGAATGTAAATCAAGAAAACTCTGTCACCTGGATTGTTGATTCTACTCTCAATCTCGCAGAAATGAAGGCGAAGCATGTAAACGAATCCAGGATCTACAAGGTACTCCCATGTGAGGTTGTAGCTCTTATTCAGCGTAACATTTGGTCCCATCGTTCGAGCAGTGCGATAGACATCATCTGGTGCTGTGTATGGCGGAAATTTAGTATAATTGAGGTGGATAATCAAGTTAAAAGGGCGAGCATCGAATATGTACGCATCCATCAAATTACTTTCCTCTGACCAGGTTCGGAACATTCCAGTGTCTTTAGAGGGTGAGATAAAACTTCCACCAATATTCATCCTATATACCGTCTCGAGAGACGTGGAGTTTTCAATGGGGAAAAACTGATTATTCTGACCAATTAGCTTCAATCCCCGACCGCCTTGATCGTTAGGCTCCGGCGGCGTATAATAAAAATTAGTGGGCATGGATACAATCTGAATCCCACTGATAAAAGCATACGAGTTCTGATCTGTGGGAGTGAATGTAAGATTGAGTATGTTATGATTTTCATCCACATACACACAGTACTCTCGAAAAACTTYATCATTACGAGAAGCATCAGCGTTGACGGAAACATTGAAATCGCGAAGGAGAGTGTAGAGACCAGCTGTGACAGAGAAGACGGCTCTGGAGCGGTCGAAGTTGGGGTAAGGAGCAGAGTAGAAGTAAAGCCGAACGAACTTCTGGCCGGGACTCACCGGAAAAGCGTAGGTGAATTCCGAGCGTGAAAGCCGTGCCGTGGTGTAAGGGACATCGAGGAGCAAAGTGAACTGTTTGTCCGGTGACAAAGTCACCGAGTCGCTGTTCCGATGAAGATCGGAAGGGAAGAATTTGGAGTTGACGTCGCCGGCCCAGGTGCGGGTTCCCCCATTCTCAGTTGATTTGTCGGAGGAACCACAATCGAGCGCTATATTGTCGATGGGTTCGTAGGCAGCAAAGAGGGAGACGAACTGGAGGCAGAAGAAAGTGAAAGTGAATATGATGGTTGAAGAAGAAGAAGCATGTTTGGTGTTACAGTACTCCGCCATTATTAGTAGAGCAAATGCAGATTAATTCTTCATGGAACAAGATGAAAGAATAAATCAGCAGAACCATAAATCATAAATGTGAGGTGCAAGTCTCTGCCGTAGAGCATCAGGCTTTACAAGTCTCTGCAGGTTGAAAAGTCTTTGGCCTCTTTTATGTGTCTTTGTCTTCTTCCACCAAATTACAAGTCTTTATGCACACAGATCTTTACTTTTTGGAATATGGAAATACCTGTTTTGCCATTGGAATTCTTTTTGATTGACCAAAAATGTCACTCTCTCTCTTCTTTAATCTTTGGAGAACATAACTGATGATTTAATTAAAAAGTTGGTACTTTTGAGTGGGTGCTCATAAGGTCAAAGTAAAAAATTAGATGGAAGTCTCAAGAGGTGCAATATCGTAACATTGTATAAATACTATAGATCTTATCCTTTCCAATCCCATGCATAACCTCGATTTCAATCATTTTCATACACCTCTACGTCCCGTATTCGAATCCCCAAGCTTACCTCGATCGTATTTGTTTCTTTAAAATTTTTGTAAAATAAATAAATAAATATTTTTATTTAAAATTGAATTTGAATTTTTCATTAAAAGTAAATAATTTAGATTTGGGTAAATTGCAAAAACCACTAACCCACGATTACAATTGAAACCTTACAGTTTCAATTGCAAATTTTCGTGCTGGCCTCCCAAAAGTTTCTAAGTAGTATTTGAATGCTTTCAACACCTTCACACGATTTTGGGTAGCATTTTTTGATAAATTCATTGTCGGAAATTTTCGATTGTTGTCTGATTTGTTTAATTGGGGTCAGAGTTTTACACTCGGAAATTGCTTTTTGGATCGGATTCAAGCTCTTAGACCTCGTCAATCAATCCATCGACCTTTCTAGGACTAAAATTCCTTTTTCTTTTCTCTGTTTCATCCTCTGCTTTATCAATTGGTTACTTGTTTTAAAATTAGAATTTGAGTTTTCAGACTGATTTTGGCTTTTGGTATTTTTTAAAATTTTTTTTTTTTGGGGTGTTTCAAGTTCTGGGTGCGCTAGCATTTCACGGTTGGAACTGAATCTTCTGATCTGGTTTGGGCTCTCCAACTCCATGGGCAGGTCGCAAGTGTTAGAAATTGTCAAATTTCGGATACAGGTAAAAATTGTTTTAAAATAATATATTGATTATAAAAAATAAATATTTTTATTTAAAACTAACTTATTTACAAGAGCTTATGCCAGCTGACACCTATCTCTAATTAGGAAGTCATGAATTGGAATCCTCGATAATGTACAAAAATATTATCTTAATATTATCCTATTTTTGTCGTTAATTTAAAGAAGTGCCCCACCATTGAGGCTTTTTTTTTTATTTAAACTATAATTTTTAAATATTGATTTTTAGAATTTTTATTTTAAATGCATTTTATCAACTTTGCCCTAAAGTTAGCCACAAAAAATCGATTGAAAAGTATCCCAACCGAACTAAAAATTATCAACACGACAAAATAAATACCACTAAAGAAACTTGGTCCCACCACAATTTAATCATGCTCATAAGTCATAGATAGTCCAAGTAAAATGATAAAATAATGAATTTTTCTTCCTCTTTTTTCTTCTTTCTTTTGAAAAAATACTTTTGAATCGATGTCAAAATGCTTCACTGTTTAGAAAAAGAAAAATGTTTAAATTTCACCTACCTTTTAGTCTAATATATATATGTATAAACTAATGAACTATATTCAAGGCAGCAATACATTTACACATCGTTGAATCACGTTATTTCAAATTATTGACGAAAAAGTAATGACTTTGAAAATTCAAAAACTAAAATATACATTTTGAAGTTTTATGAACTAATCTCAACCTTTGAGATCAAAATTTGAAATTTGAAAAAAAAAAAAAAGCCGAGTGGAAGTGAAATTAAGAATTATTTAGGTTAAGTCCCCAAGGGATACTTTGGGTGACTTAGAACCTCAAGAAATAAACTTAAGATCTTGGGTTCAAACCACATGGGATGTAACTTTCACCAAACAATGACTCCTTACGTATGTTCGAGTATGGGGACAATGTGAATACCCCAAATATAAGGACATAAAGGTCAAAGGGTCGTCGACTCCTGGTTTATAAAAAAAATAATTATTTAGGTTTAAAATACTATTTTGATTTAAGTATTTTCAACTTTAGTTCATTTTAGATCATATATTTAAAAATGTATATTTTAGTTCTTCTACTTTTCACCTTTTATTTGTTTTAATCTCTATACTTTTAAAAAGTGACTATTTCGATTATTGTTTATAAAAATTTAACATAAATTCTTTACCCAATGAAAACGATTTAACTTATACATTTCAAGAAATTGATAAAGCTTAGTGACAAAAATAAACCAAAGATAAAATGTAGAGCGACTAAGTATTTAAACCAAGCATTTACTTTAACCAACCCCAAACCAGATTGGATAAATTGAAAGGTAAGTATTTCCTTAAAAAGGATTTTTTAAGCAATGAAATTTTTTTTAAATACTTTCTATTACTATTTTAAAAGTCACGCAACTATTTTTTAATTAAAAAAATTAGAGAAATAAATTAAGCCCCTAGAAGAGAAGCAAATTCAATGGAGAAAATAAATACCGTACTAAAAACTATCCAAGACGACAAAATAAATAAATACCACTAAAAAAATTTGGTCCTACTACAATATAATTATGCTCATGTCCGGTCCAAGTAATTTTTCTTCTTCTTATTTTCTTCTTACTTTTTAAAAATACTTTTGAATTATTCAGTCCAATTAAAAGTAATAAAAGATCAATTAGATGCTTTTCAAGAGAGTTTTTTTTTTTTTCTTTTTCTCTTCTTTCTTCGTCTTCTTCCCTTTAGTACAAACTACAAACGGCTTTTAAAAAGAAAAAAAAAAGGTTTAAATTTTATTTCAGTATCTAAACTTTTCTATCGTTTTATGTTTAATTTCCCTCCAATCCAATACCGATGTGTTAATCAACCTACATGATTTCAATTCACGCCCATATCAGCACATTTATATATCTCCAAACTACATTATTTGAAAAAATAATGGCCAAACTAAAATATACATTTTCAAGTTTTAAGGATGAGTCTCAATTTTTGAGATCAAAATGAGATTAAGAAAAAAAAAATTAGACTTGGAAGTGAAATTCCAGGTAAAGTAAGAATCCTCCATTTTCATCCTAATAGTTCAACTTTAATTTATTTTAATTAATGTATTTTCAAAATATCTATTTTAATCTTTATAGTTTCTCCCGACATTGTCCATGTACTTTTAAAAAGTGACTATTTATTTTTTCATTGTTTAAAAAAAATTAGCACAAATCCTATACACATAAGAAAGTTATAGTTACATTTCAAGAAATATATTAAGTATAGTGTTTCTTGAAATTGTGACCCACAAAATGGGAAGAAAAATAAAATAAAGAGACTAGAACAGTCAGGTGTAAAGATACATGAAACTGAAATACACACTCAGTCAAAGAAAAAAAGAAGCATAGATTGAAATAATATTTAGATCAAGCCTTTACCGGATAAATTGAAACGTAGGAAAGGTGATAGAATTGGCAGAGACGACATGTCGTTTGTTGTTTTAAACTAACAGATTGTGCGGTCATAGATGTTGCGGCGTCTACAACCAGGTCCCGGGTTGGGCGGGCCAAGACAGTCATACGGTGAATTTGGGCGATCGCATATAGGTTTCTGCGGCTTTACGGCCCGTGAAGAAGCGTATTTCGGAGGGTATGAAATTGCCATCTGAATGTCCAATTCGTATTCTCCGGCCAGGCATTCCTCGGCCCGGCCACCGCACCATATCGATCCGACGGTGGTCTCGTTGTGGAAATTCGAAGAAGTCAGAGATGCAGAGTGGCTTGTGCTCAGCATCATCATCAGAACTGCCACTGCCATCGCAGCTCCCGTGATTGAAGAATGTCCCATGGAAATGAAGGAGTTTGGGGAGGAAAAAGGAAAGAAAGAAAGGATAAAGAATCTGTGGATGTCAGCTCGTTATATATAATAAACATAAATATATTATCACTTTTTTTAATATTTTTTTAAATTATACCATTATGTTGTAGTATCGTATTAAACTTTTTTCGACATTTCCATCGACATTTTCATGTATTTATGATTGGAGTTCGATACGAGGGGTAAAAAAAATATAGAAATGATATTTCCATAATATTACATAGAAAAATGGACAAAATATAAAAAAAATATCGACAAAACTTTACTAATATAGTCAGATGTTAATATTAATTATTTTAACTCATTTAAAATTTGTTTGAAAATTATTTGTTAATCTAAATGTTTTTTCGAGTTTTTATTTCTCTAATTTTTCTAGAAATATTCATCAACATCGACAATTTATTAATTTAATATTATAATTTTATGTCAATTTTAGTTTATGTTTAGTGATTATTGGAAGAGTATAATTGTAACGATT